TGCGCATGGCAGGTGTAGGCTGAGCTCGATAAGAGATTTTACCGTAGGCGGTGCTCATCTAGGGTGTGGTTAGCAATTCCACTTTAAACTAAACCGCTGCCGGGGCGTTCCCGGAAGTTTCTATGCTAGGGGTGCCCTATACTCAGGGAGATAGAGTGGCCTTTTCTATCTAGGGAATACGCGGGAGATCAGGCTGAGGTATTTCGGTCTGTTAGCTCTTTGCGTGCGGCATACGACCCGATGAACAATGCGGGCCCGACCATTCGGTGTGGACAAGCGGAGAGCGAGGTTGTCTCGGCCCTTAGGGGCTGGGGGCCTCTACACCAATGCTGCGGCGGTAACACCATTAGTCGTATGCGGAGGTGCGTTAGCTCTCATCTTGAGAATCAAAACGTCCGATAAGGCCAAATAGGCCAGATGCGGATGCTAAAGATCCTCTTGTCTAGTTGACGATGAGTTCTCGGGAACGGAACTATCTGACTGCGGTCCAGCGTATTTTCGTTCCAAGTTTAAGCCCTACTGCATGGGTAAGGACTCGCAGTGTCTTAGTGGTGAGACCCCTAGCGGGTACCTAGAGACTGTTTTTTGTTTACCAAGAGGCTGTGTTTCATTCGTGGCCGTGGACAGTAGTATTTGCGTATGACCTCTGAATTACCTCTTGACCTCGCGGGAATCGGAAGGATCGGATTGCCGAGAGCGTATAGCCATCGAGGAGTGTATGTCTACGCTGCCGACGTTCCTCGAATGCGTGAGGAATGGTGGACGGGGGTGGATGCTTGTCTGTGACGGTCGTCTGGGCTGCCTTTACCGTAGGCATAGTGAGGGTGGTTAGAGATTCCACTCCAAATCGAAGCCGCGGCCGGAGCGCATCCGGAGGTTTCGACGCTAGCGGAGCCCCTACACCCAGGGAGATGGAGTTGTCGTCTCTATCTACGGAGTGCGTGGGAGACTTGGCCGATGCATTTCGACCACTTTTTGGGTATCCCTTTACGCGCGTCACTGGTTATGTGCACAACGTTAAGGAAGGGGCAAGCGGGAAAAGTCGACATGTTGGCAGCATGCTGCGGGATGATGGAGCTTCTACACCGAACCTCACGGAAGAAGCAGATTTTCCGTGCGCGGAGGTGAGTCGCTCCTATCTTGAGAATCTAAACGTGTGATAAGGCCTGCCGGCTAGGAGTGCACGCTAAAGAACCTCAGTGTTAATGACATTGCGACCCCAGTGGGAACGTAGCTCGGAAGAAAAATACTATTTGGTTTTGTCAGACAGTCAACCCGTGTTTTTAAGCATGTTATTCATTGATCAAAATTTTGAACATATATGAGTAAGCATTAACCAAATCACAACTAAAAGCAATATTATTGATTATTGATCTTAGAAATGGTTTACATCAACAAAGGTAAACACAGCATCAATTACAGAACGGACACATGTAAACTCAGTCGCAGCTACGCTAATATCATTAATGAAATTCAACATCAATAACATACATATATCATCATCACATCACACAAAACATGTAACATATAAAACATTACATTCCTCACATCAAACATTTCTACATAGTCTAATTCTTCAACAATTTGGCTTTCTCTTCCCTAATTATCCCCGCCTATACAATCCTGAAAGAATAATCAGGTCGAACTACTACCCATTCTTTCCCATTGTCGGCTCCTTTCACCTCGAAGAAGCTTACTCCTCATGTAAAAATGTTTTTCTACCCCAACTTCCTTCTCCACTCCTTCAAAATCAACGCATATAAACATAAAACAGCAATATCTCACTGGCACTCTCAACACGACACACAATAATGACACATCTACGCAAAAACAAGCACATTGAGATAGTACAAATATTTTGATTGAGTCTAAAATTTCTAGCATTGTATAAATTCATTTTTTTTCACATCCTATATGTATTTGTATAATTTAAACAATGTTTATAAATCCAGGCGCTGAAGATGATCTCAATAAAGATCAAAACGTTGGCACGAAAAAGAAAATGTTTTTTTAAATCTACGTCACACCAGACCGCATCTCACGATATTTGAATAACTATCGACTAACGGTCTAACTAACTAAACACCATACATTATACAAACTGTTGTTAAGTTCAGTTTACATTTTTAATTTATGAGAAAAAATTCAACTTTTGAAAAAAAAATTTCCTTCATTTTTTTAAAAAGAACAATTGCGGTTAATAAGGAAACATTTTTCGAAAATTAAGTAGTTGCTTAGAAACAATTCAAATGGAAAAGTTTACAATTGAATGTGTGGTGCTTAGTGACAGTTAGTTGATGATTATTTGAAAAACGTGAGGTGCGGTCTGGTGTGACGTAGGTTTTAGAAAAACATTTTTTTTATCGTGCCAACGTTTCGATCTTTATTGAGATCATCTTCAGAACCTGGAGTTTATTTGTTGGATTGTAAGGATTATTTAAATAGTACAAATACATGTAGGATGTGAAGAAAAAAAAGTGAATTTATACAATGCTAGAAATTTTAGACTCAAAGTGTCTCACATCTCACGATCTCCAAATAATCATCAACTAACGGCCACTAAAGACTAAACACAATAATATTATTTCTCCCTTGTTAGTAAACATGGTAGCTTCACGTCTTAGACCGGTGGATGTCGAGCTTAATCTTTAATTTCCTTCGATCAAACCTGCTGGATAGTCTGAAATGTACACGCAATGATGCACAACAGACATGGCATCACGTTTATCTGTTAAAAAATTCACAGCAATAAAGGAGCCAATGCGCACAGAGGGCTGTAGTGGGCGTGGACGTACTGTTGGCTCAAATCATTTCATAAATTAATTCTTATTTAATAATACTCAACAATACTTTTATGATCATCCTTAACATCTTTATTTTATTAATTCGTGTACGAATATATTGTGTATGCACGAATTAATTAATTGTAAAGAAACCCCTATAATTATTGTATAAATGTGTAATATAGCGTGTCTCTGATTCTTTTTTGTTGGGCCCTACCCTGATTTCGGAAAACCGAAAACAAGGTCCCAGAGGTTTTTTACGATCGGACCTGACTACAATTATTTCATTTATCGATCGGGCACCTTTTGTATGACAATATATTTTATTAATTATTATTTTAATTTAAAGAATCCTTTTATCCTATAACAAACCTATCTCAAATCTACAAACCTTAATTTTAAAATGGAATTTGATTCTCGTTTTATAGTTCCATAAAGAAAGGTAAAGAAATTATTATTATTATTATTATTATTATTATTAAAATTTTGACCTCCAAATTATAAAATACAACTAAAATATTAACACAACTTTTAAAATGAAATATTATTTCTTTTACTCTTCTTTATAAAAATATAAACCCTTTTAAAATTAAATTACAATTATTACTTTTTATTTTGACGTCAAAGTAATAAAATTAACTTACTTGAATAGTGTGCACACCAAATTTTTATTTTTACCAAAAATAGCTGTTTACCCACATAAGCCAGAAAGGGATATGTTCTAGGACTTGAAAAAAATAGCCCTTTCTTGGCCCCTACTCCTATCACTGCTTGAGTGTGTGGAGGGGCATGGCGGTTTATTTAAATCTGAACGTGACAAATGTATAAAATAAACGACCAAAATGAACGATTACTGTCCACTACTCAACAATTTTGTTTTAGATTAAATCTTAATCTACACTCTTATTAACAATAAATTGTTTCAATTGTAATAATCAAACACGCGTTTTTAACACATTGGGCGTCGCTGGCCGCAACGGTTTGGGGTTGTCACTAAGATCATCACAGTAAGAAATTTCGAACCAGATCTGTTTAATTCACCTTTAATCACTTAAAACGGACTAAATAATGTTGTAAAATAATCAATGAAGGATTTTCTAAGGGATAATTAAAAATATTAAGGGTGGTGGTCATTTTTTTGCCTCTCAGTGTAATTTTTTTCCGAGGGTATTTCACCTACGAGGTTATTCGAACCCTTGGAGTTTTAATTTTTAAATATCGCCTAGAGTGTTTGGAAAAATTCCCCATTTAGGATTTTGTTCCTCAAATGGGAGAATATAAGTATAAAAAGAAAGAAGTATAAAAATGTAATATTATATTATTATGGATTATTGTCTTTTAAATCCCTTTGCTGTTCGCCACACAAGTTGAAAAGACATCTGTCTGAACATATGACCTGCCTCGGATATGTATATATTGATTTGTTTTATATATGTACCTTTCTAGATTTTATTTTTTGGGAATATTCTTGCAAAGCCTCGGCCACGATTCTTAATATTTGTTTAATATTGGTTCCGTGTTGGTGTAGTTTATTATTTTTCTTATTAACTGAATATTTTACTATTTGTAGACTCTTATTAATTCGTAACGCTTCGAGTAGTAGAATAAAAGTAGAATATTTTTAAATGGGAAATGTCAACAGGTTTCGAGTCAAACTTGATATATGGGCCGTTTTTGTTTTCAAATTGGGTGTCCAAAGATTGCTTAAATAAATAAAACGAAATATGATTTTAACACGAAACAAACAAGATGGATGGCGTAATAATAAATGTCCGAAAAGACTGCCATATTAACTGAATATTAGTGTATAATGTACATAATACAAAGAGTACTTTTTATGGGAGAAAATCCTATGATCTTGGCCTTTTCCACATAAATCCCTTTGACGCGTTATTCCTCCGACGCCAATTCCAGCTAGTAAAACAGCATTTCTAAGGCGAAAATGACAAGAACACGTTCATCCAGATAACCGCCTATGACGGTCTTATAAATAGAGGTTAATCAAATGTGGTGAATAGGGCCATCAAAAAGAGAAAAAATCCTTGTCAAAAAGAACGTAAAACCTTCTTCATTTATGAACGTTTTTTAAGGTTTTATTTGAAGAATTACTATTTATTTTATAAATAAACCCTGAAAACTCGTAAAGAAATAAAACGCACCGCTTTATTTGGCTTTTATTTAAAAAATTAACAAAATCTTATTTCTGCTTTATTCCAGGTCATGGACAATCGAGAGCGGCGTAGATGTTAAGGTAATGACCTCCGCAAATTCATTCCAAAAGATAATTTCTTCTAATCAATTTTTATTAGATCTTAAACTCACCTTGCTATTGACCTGAAACTTTCTTTCTTATTGTGTCAATTCTCAAACGATATAAATGTCTTTTGAGGTTATCCAAAAAAGATTTATACATTTTAATAATTTATTTGCAAACTGAAAGAAATTATCAAGTACATGTTATAACTGTATCAAACATAAAAATCGGACTATTATTTCCACAAAAACGAGCATTTCTGACAAATAATTTGGCTATTTTATGTATCTTTTTATAGAAATATGTTATATATTTTAATGGTACTTACGTCGTTAAAAAGCTATGATCCCCTTAGCTCATAGACTGTTTGACATTCAAATCCTTTTGCTGTTTTTAATTATAGCAGATTATATTATTATTAGATTTTTTTTAAATTTTTTTATTGGCCTTATGATCTTGCATATTAGCCATAGTACGAATTCTTGTGTGTTCAAATTGGGGGTTATCGGGAAAAAAGGGCCAGAGGCGACGGTGGGAATCGAACCCACGACCGCGGCGTGAGAGTCTCTCATGCTAACCACTCGGCTACCGCGGTCCCCCTATTAGATATTTTGACTTGTCAAAAATCGAAAAAATTTTGGGGGTCAAAAAATCGACAAATTTAAATTGAAACAAAAAATTATACTTAGAGATGTATGTCTAGAGGTGCTGAAACGAAAATTTCATATTGGTTTCGTGGAAAGAAAATTGATAAATTTTGATAGCGTTTACTATATTTTTATTGAAATCTATGTAAAACAATCTAGTCACATAGTTGATTTGAGCAGTAGAACAACGAAATAAAAATATTAAAAAAGAGAAAGTTTCAACTTTAATTTTTTGTGTGGCGAAAACAGGGTTTAGTCAGAAGAAGTGGCGGATATTTTAGAATGTAGAATCACCAAAAAAAGTTCGGTTCTCATTCCGAGACCAACCATCCTGGTCGTCCCTTCATTAGTCGCAAGAAAATCTGAAACATGAAACTTATGAATACACAAGCCAAGAGTAGTTTAGTAAGTCACACACAAAATTAATCGTATTCAAAACACTAAGAACATAAAAAGAAAATAAACCTACGATCATAATAACCAACAGGAACAACTAACCAGCATAAACCTTATTCGTCAAAGAAAAAGACTTGTTTATTGTGTTCTGGGAGTTATTCTCCTTTAAGAGCAGCAGCACAATTTTACGTTTGCTATTATTTCATTGAAAGATATGAATGACTTATAATTATTTTATTTTTATGGCTGGACAGATTATAGGCGGATTTTGTTCTGAAATAAATGTTTATCAGTGCATTACGTTATAAGTAAGTTATAATAACATATAAATGTACAACATTTACTGTGTTCATGATAAAAACTCACCCTTTTCTGATGGTTAGGGGCTATCTTCTTACCCCTCGTCCGTGTATATACTGACAACAGTGAATATCTTTAAAGACATTCCAATGAAAATTAGATTGAATTTAATTTTTTTAAAATAATTATTTGTAGCCTATATATATTAGTACAGTTTACAAACGTGATCAGTACGTTTTTTCATAGGTCACAGCACTAAAACTAATGCCAGCGTTGCACCCGGAGGACTCATGCTAAGAAAAACCAGCACTCTCAAGTGTACAGCGAGTTGGTGTGTCACGGATTTAGAACTTCTTGTGAATAGGCCTTGGTTTCGCACAAAAAATATTTGAAAGTTGAAATTTTGCGGTCATTAATATTTTTATTTCGCCGTTATTCAGATCAACTGTGTGAATATATCATTTTATAGCATTTTTATGTAGATTACAATAAAAATATGTAAAAGCTATCAAAGTTTATAAAAAAAAATTGTGAAAACGCAATATTTTTGCGCAGTAAACTTGGTCATAATTTTTTTTCGTGAAACTAATGTGAAATTTTTTTTAGCATCTCTAGAGACCCCTAAATATACAGTTTTGTGCGCAATTAAATTTATCGAATCCTAAAATTTTTCCGATATTTAAGAAATCTTTCTCGGAATATCTGATTGGAACGGTTATAATTTCCGCAAATAGGCAAAAAGTATTTTAACATCAAACATACCATTTAAAAGGTAATGAAACGTAGCTTTTTAACGACTATCTACCATAAAAATATAGACAAGATTTCTATAAGAAAATATATAAAATAAAAAAATATTTTTGTCAGAAATTAACCCTTTTTTTAATGGAAATAATAGTCCGATTTTAATGTTGGATACAGTTATAAATTGACTATTTCTTTAAAAGAATTATCAAACATGAAAATCAATTTTCTACATCTTCAACGTCTTCAAAATTATCAGTAAAAAATTAATTTACTCCTATATCCGTGAAAGTAGGTATAAGGACTTTATTACCTAGAATTACGACAACGAGGTTCAATCCAAGTTTTGACCATTTTTGACCTACTTTGATTACAGAATGTTTAATATACAAAAAAGCGGGATTTTGTTTATTTATCTTTTTAAATCATACCAAATTAGAAAATGCTACGTCATAAAACATTTTTTTTAATCTTAACCAACAATGAAATGAATATACAAAAAATAATGTTTCTTAATCTCTAAATAACGAATTATGATAATTTAATGGCGACTGAAATTAGATTTTGAAAAAATGATGGTTGAATGAAAAGTTCATTGTTTTTTTTTTTGCTTTAAAACTCTCTGCTACCAGTTTTTGTCACCCTCTCCCGGTTTTCTACCAGCGGAGGTGGAATTACGAAGTAAAGTAAAAGATTAAGAGCAAAGAAGGACAATTAAAAAAATAATCCTCAATTACAAATAAATTATAATTGAAATTTAAATATTCATAATCCCTCCACCAATTAAACAAAGAAGGTTAACTAAATTAAAAGTATTTTTTTACCAGCCTGAAATTTTATTCTCCAAATCTCATTAACTCGATTTACGGACGGTTTCGCTGCTCAAGCTCACCTGACTTCGCCCGCTACACGACCTTACGGTCGGAAGGGTTTTGACTTCCTCTTCGACTAGCGGTCCACCCAGAATCTTGAAAACTGTGAGAAGTGATGGGCTGAACTCTTTCATGCGTTTATGTATTACATGCGTTCATTTGAGCTTATATAAATCAGTCACCACTCAGGAGCATTCATTCCTGAGGCCTTTTAGCTGAAGAGTACACTTGGTGAGGTATCGAAACATTAAAACCAATTCAAATAAAAAAATATCCCTTACCATGTATTTTTTTAACTAGGGTATTTCAACTACGAGGTGATATAAACCCTCAAGGTGCCAGTGTTTTTGAAAAAAGCCCATTTGTGAGTATGTCGGGCTGGAATGTACTTTTTTAAACTTAAGGCAATTGATATAAATATTGATACATTTTAAACGGGGTTTTAAAGAGAATTTTTTATATGATTTAGAAACAGTAAATTGGATAACATTAAATGGAAAGAAGTGTTTATTAAATAATTATTAGATATTTATGAATTGTACAAGATAAGATTTGTAAGTAACGATAGGCTAAATCCGCACAACGTCTGTGTCATGCCGAACTGTTGGTCCGTTTTATTTATTAATTTATTTTATTTGTAGCCCTACTTACTAGTACATTTTACAAATCTATACCGTTTTTTCACATTCTTCACTATTACTAATGCTAATGCTAGCTCTGCAATGCCAAGAGAAACGAGCCAATGCTGGAGCTCAAAGTGAGGGGTTAAAGGCAAGGAAGTTTCGAGCCAGTTGTCGATTACGGCGACGTGAGTGGGAATGTGTTGACAGAGTTCGAGCAGTAGGATTAGGTTAAATCGAGATGTTAGGGTAAAACATTTCGAATCGGGAATGGATCAGTTCGTTTAGAAAAGGAATTCGTTGTGGATAGTGAGGTTAGTGAAAGAGTCAAAGGAGCTTTCACAATTTATCTGAGAACTTTTGACTGAAAAGTTCGTCTATACAAAGTGGTTGCAGTGATGTCTTATGTAAGGTTAGTTTAGTGTTGACGTTCAAAACGGATTTCGATCCTAGGAGTCTTCGTTGTTAACATTAAAAAATAAATAAAATAAACTGACCAATTATGAGATCATTGCCAGACTCATTTGGACTTACGGACTTGAACTTCGACATGACACCAATAGATCTATCCTAACCGAATGCAAAAACGTTACCCAAACTATCCAAAATAATTTACAACAACATGTGATCGGATTGGATTCTCGACGACAAATGAAATGGCCACGGAGAGCTTTAGTGAAGTATACTTCATTTTAAATCATTAAATTAACTAATTTGTGGTCCGCTTGACCAATTAATGTATTACAAATAATTAAGGTTTTTAGTTGAGATAAAAAAGTCAATGGCACGAGCCGGATTCGAACCCACGATCTTCGGCTAGATACGCCGCTGCTCTACCAATTGAGCTATCGTGACCCCAATCCACTCGGACACTAACTTCCCATCTCAACCCCACCTTTTGAATTTTCCCTCCTTTTTGCCATTTTTCAAATTTGTTTTGTAAAAGAGTTCAACCGATCTCCATCGTAATTGTTCTTTTGGGTTTCTCCCTCCTCACATGCCGAAATAACGGTGACAGACAAATCTTTTGTAACAACTTTTTAACAAACTAGAATGAAAAAATTTGAAATAGTGAGCACAATAAATTTGAAAGGGATTTCTAAACCCACTTAGCAAGTTCCTCAAGCCAATTAAGAAATTATCAGAAAAATGCAAGGTGTAAAGCGATGTAGTAATTGTAATTTGTAAATACATATATTACAATGTTTATTTTATTTAAAACGTTAAAAAAACTGAAATAAAACATTCACGAAAATTAATCACAATAACTGACTAAATAGAACAACGAAAAACCAAGGCTTACAAAAAATGCAGACTATAGACAAGTGAAGATAATAGTAACACATGAATATTATAAAAAGGACACGACCACCTAAAAAATACAAAACTAACTCCCATGGAGATTGAAGATACGCTAA